AAGGTCACATGAGGCAGATATGTCAAACACTTTAAACGACTTCTTCTGAAGAACTGGTAGTTATAAAATCTTAATATTTGGCAGGTGGCTTCCTGGGAAAGAGCCAAACAAAGTTTGCGAATGAAAATGACCTTGACCTACTTTCAAGGTCACAGCGTTCAAATATGTCAAACAGTTCAAACAGCTTCTTCTGAAGAATTAAAAGGCATAAAATTATAATATTTGGCTGGTGACTTCCCGGGATAGAGCTCACCAAAGTTTGCAAATGAAAATGACCTCAACCTACTTTAGAGGTCACAGAGGTCAACAACATTTTAATGGATTTGTTCTTGAGAACTAAAAGGAATGGATTCATAAGATTTGGCTGGTAGCTTTTTGGAATAGAGCTAACCAATTTGAGAAGGAAAATGACATTGACCTACTTACAAGATCATAGGGAAAAATATGTCAAGCAACTTCTGAAGAAGAATCAAAAAGCATAGAATCTTATAATAATATTTTGCTGGTAGTTTCAACAGATGGAGCCAACAAAGTTTGCGAGGGAAATATTTTTAGTGCAATAAAATATTTAATGAGAATATTTTGCTATGACTGCTTAAATATTCAGGTGAGCGATACAGGCCCTCTTGGGCCTCTTGTTTTTACTAAAGTTTACTTACTGTGGGTTATATAATTTAGGGGCCGAGATCGAGATGCCCGAGATTGAGTGGTTAAGGCGTTTTGATGACTGCAATCACTAGCCCTCCACCACTTGATAGTGGGGTTCAAGGCCTACATGGGACATGCAGTCACCATGCGGGTACTGAATGTCGGCAGGGTACTGATTTTTCTTTGGGCACACATGGTCATTTAAGGATAAGCCAGGATTTGGTTGTGGAGGAAAGTCTTGAGTACCCAGAGAAAAACCACAGATTTGCGACAAGTACCTGGCGACTGTGTATGCATGCCCCATGTAGGCCTCAAACCCACCTTATTTAATTGGGTATTACTCTAGATCTGTCATATTGAAGAACAGGGTCCTATCTTAGGAAGTTAATTAATTAACACATTTCTTGGATCAGTTGTTAGTGTCTGGTGATCAAAATAATAATCGTCTAAAACTGTCCCAGCTCTTAGTTCCGGGGCAGTAACAGCTTCCTCCGAATCACCATGTGAGATCCACTTTCTGTCACATAAATAACTTGTTTTGAGGTTTCCAGTCTTGATGTCAGTGGAGCTCCCACTGAGGTCAGCAAGCTAGAACAATTACGGCCTTTTATGTTGACCATTACATTGTATGCAATATGTCGTAAGTTGAAAACAATTTACGCAAAACTTTCTGCGTGAGGCAAGCAGTACATATATGAATGTGTAAAAATGGCCCTAGTATTTCAAAAAAATATGTATATACCATTTAGAAAAATAAAAATAAATCACCGACATAGATTTGTAACACTAAATATACTCGCAGCTGTTTTTCAACAATTTCAATGGACTTGTTCCTATTCTGTGTAAATGTTTTATATATGTTATTGGTTATTGAATTTCTATACTCTGATAATGGTCACAGGAGCACATCAGGCCATACCGTCTGATATCACACACCTGTTTATAGTATAAACAGTTATCTTTAGACTGTAATCAACTCTGCCATGCAGCTATCCTGTCAGATTTAGGTTATCAGCCATATACCTTACAGGTACATTTATTGTATTACCCATAATTAACACCCTGCACTCGATAAGCACCCCATCAATATCCCAGCTCCCTCTTTTTGGGGGGGGGGGGGGGGGGGGGAATGTAATTAGACACCCATCCCAGACCTTACCTGCAGGCCAGTCCATGATTTATAAAGTACTAATTATATAATTATGCTTTAAGCAGAGAGTTTGTATGTTCAGTCATCATGGCCATGGTTATACTTCCTGTAAAGAGTGAACATATGAAAGATCTGATACCCAACCTTCCAATCATAAGTCATACTGGAATGTTAATAATAGCTGTCAGTGGTTACAACAGTGGAATGACTTTTTCTATTATAGTATTATGTAATATTATCCTGCATGCCTCTTCCCTTTAAGCTAATTTTTAACCCCCCCCCCCCCCCCCGGGCACCATTTATGACAAATATGGTATATAACATGTACATACATACATATGTCAGGGATGTTAGATGTACTGTGCATGCTATACCTATACGTTGAGCTTTATATCATAATTGATAAGTGTCAGATTAAGAACATGATTACAATATGTATAGGTCATGACAATACACCTGTCCTAGGATAATTGGGTCAATATACCTGTATTCCTATAGCTATCTCAGCATCAGTATACAACTGTCAGGAATGCTGAAAAAAATCTTCTACATATATATAGAATACATATATATACATTTTTTGTGTATATGTATACATATTTTGCGTTGCACATCAATTTTCCCACAAAAAAACGATGTCCAGAATGCCCGGAAAATCCACCTCCAACATGAAATTTTGACACAAAAATTGTTTTCTCATGTCATTTATTAATTAATTACCCAGGGGTTAATATATAACAACTTCTTTCTGTTCAATTAATTTACATCTTGTATTCATAATTCAAGCTTTTTATTAGTGTGTTCATGTATTAATTAATGTTCGGTATTTGTACTTATACAATTACAATTCAGAAAATAATTACATATGGCACATATATAGTACTTCAGCTACGTATACATAAATAATTAGCTTTTATTGTTTCATCTACTCTATACTATTAACTCATTCAGCCCTGAAATTTCATAATGAACTATTCTAACCTTTGAATTGGAAGAGTTCAAATGTGTCTTTAGGGGTAAATGAGTTATGGCCCAACCCTTTGTTACACTGAGACATGTTGCAATATATATAGACGTCATGCATGTACAGTACTGGCTTATATGGTGTCATTGAGTACCGCGGTAATTGTATTTGATCAAAGTCCAGAACAGTCCATTCTTATTTCGTATTTGAATCTAGTGGTAGTATTAATTGTGATGGTGTATATATACACATACAGTGTATCTACACAATTAAGGAAAAACTAACATAATTAAATCATACATGTGTAGATTTACAGATTAAATCAAACTATTTTCATTACCAATATAAATGATATTGAATAGAGTTTTAGATAATTGGTGAGTTTGCTTTGATTTATATTTTAATGAATTATAAATAAGAAATTTAAATGATTTATTATTATAATACAGGTTTACAGTATGTTACAGTATGCACAAGTCACGTTCTTACCTGAACTAAACTTACTTTGCTTAGCGTGTACATTGATTCAGATTTACATTAGTTACTGAATGATTTAATTCTGAGGATGAAATTGAAAAAAAAATCTTTGAAAAAAAATCTTATTTTGTTTACTGCTTTAGAATTTTAAGTCCATTTTGCAAAGGTAATGAGGTCATTATCTGACCATATTTTCATAGGCAGAAAACACTATTAAGGATATAAATATATATATATACACACCATGTAATGTGTAATAAACGTAAACATCAGAGGTGTGTATATATATATATGAAGTTGATCAAATAAACCTAATTATCACTGTCTAAATTAGTGACACTCAAAATTGGAACTATGCATCTAGCTGTAATAAATATACATGTATATCAAATCTGTATCAATCATAAAAGGGCTGTTTTATATTACACATTTATGGACTTTTGTGCTGGTGAATATGATGTGATAATCACATCATATTCACCAGCACAAAAGTCCATAACTGTTTTATTATATGCTTCAACAATAGAATTAGAAGAAAAAAATCATGATTCTTATCTTTTTTTTTTTGGAAGGTTCCCAGTACTCCAAACATATTTATAAAATCATGCTGTCTGTTGCAATATAACCAAACAAAAATAAACAGTTTAAACATTTATTGACCAACTGTTCAGCTGACAGCTGAATGAGAGAATGATAGAATATCAAAACATACACTTTTACATCAATAAGAGGGGATATCGATAACAAAGTATATCTTAGATTGTGATAAAGAAATAAATTCATTATGTTAAGACTGCTTTTATTTCTTATTGGTGGATTTCGTTATCCAAATGTTAGCGGCAATGTCATTAAATTCATCATCGTCAAAGTCATCGAGTAAGGTATTCATTTGTGAATTAGACAGAGGCTGTAACATACAGTTTCCTAAATCAAAATCACCTAACTCGTGAGTATCAAAATTCAGATTATTAGGTTCAACAACACTGGACGCATCTCTTTTCATCCTTTTCACAGGTCCATCTACATCCAAGCCGATTCCCCGACTAATAGTGTGGGACATGTGTCTTTTTGTGCTTACATCCGTGAATCCTGTGTAGGTTTTTAAGCTTTGCTCGGACTTATGGCCAGTCACAGTCATTATATGGCGGCTTGGCACTTGAGCAGAATCTGGAAGATGGACAGAGGTAGCCCGCAAACTGTGATTTGTATACTTGCGAGACAATTCATATTTTGTGCTCAAAGATGTCATTAGTCTGCCAAGTTTGTTGTGTCCAATGGGAGCATTGTCAAAGTAATGTCCGCACTTGTTAGGGGTCTTCCTTACTTTGGGGAAAAGGTAGGGACATCCGGGGGGCAGCATCTTCACATATCTCACAAAAGATTTTACTGGGCACCTGTTGTCATCTTCTACAAAATACAAATAAAAATATGATGAGTACAGTTAGAGATTTGGGTTTGGGACTAGACTAGAATTTTAAAATAGTTTCAAAACATTTTAAGTTATCTTGATTTTTTTTATAATGCATGGATATACACAAGTATTTAATAGCAGGTACATACCTTTAATTTCATACATTCTGCCCTCTGCAGTGTTGGTGTCTGTCTGGTGATTTTTGGTCAACTCATCTATGTTGAGATAAATATACCTCCAACCTTCTGCGTCTGTCGTTGTAGCGAAGTCGGTTTTCTTTAGATCCCGTATATTTTCTCTTCCAAGACGGCCAAAATGTAACATAATGTCGACAAATACTTTGCATTGTAATGACTCCGGATCCCTGACATTAAATGACGAGTATAGCTTCTCCAAGTTGGCTTTATCGATGGGTGGGTGATGCTATATGCCTCCTAGGCCCTGCCTTTTCAGTTCCACAGACATGGCTTGGAAAGCTCGTTTAGAATTTGGGAATTCTGCACCATTGATGATATCGAATTCCAGCAAATGTCTGTTTAAACCATGCCTTATGGACGTAAGGATTGATTTCTTATACAGTTCACCTTTACACGAACGGGCCTCCGTGAAGAACTTGGCTAGTGTTGTATCCAAAAGTACGGCATCGTAGCTTATAAAGTGTTCATCCAGGTTCTTTTCTTTCAGATAAGCCTGAAAGACTCGCACTGCGTGTTCTGTTGCTTTGTTCATGTTCAAAGCGTCTTTATCGTCCAGCAGTTTCTGGAAACTTTGGGCTGTAACACAGGCGAAGTGTTCGCCAGTACTTGCCATCGTCTGTGTTGTCGTCTGACAGAATGCGTTCCGGTATTACTGCGCATGCGCTACGACAAGGTTGCGGGGAATTTCCATACAAGCTATATTTAGAAATCGATATTCACCGGATAACCAGTCTACATGAGTTTTTGAGGACTGGTCACGTGTATAGGATCCGACCAATGTGATTGCGAGAAATGTTCATGCATATAATAAATATATATATAGACCCATATATATAGCATCACACAGCTGGCTCAGTCATCACAGACAGCCAAATGTAGCATCAGCTGAAAAAATTAATAAATAAATTATAGTGTACCGGCAGTATACTAAATGTATTTCAACACAAAATCATTTGATCAAATAGATCTGTAAAGTCAACACCAAACACCCAAACTATTTCAAAAAATAGTTTGGAAATAAAAATAGTTTTGATAACTTGAAATAAATATAAAAATTTGATTACGGTACTGTAAAGGTAAAAATTCTCGCGTATGGAAATGTTCGCATTATGGCTATATACAAACTGATTGCGATATAGTTAAATCTTAGCATCGACAATGGCTGCAGGCTGGTTCTGAAAAATATTAAATGTATATTTAATCTTTGTACAGTGCTTGAATATGTTCATGCTATTTATTTTCTTGAGGCAAAAAATTCAAGTTTTCACAGTTATAGTACATGTTATACATTGTAAAATGAGGCTTGCACCCTTTTGCACATTGTATGAAGGTACCATAGCCCGTATGAAGTTTGATCATACAGTATTTATGTTATTTGTTACTTTTTTTCAGATGAGAAAGTGATATTGAAGAATGTGTCTGGAGAGTTCAACGCTGGGAACTTGACGGCCATCATGGGTCCTTCTGGAGCTGGTAAATCATCATTGATGAACATACTAGCGGGATACAGGTACATTTTCTGATTTCAGGGAACCGAGTCTTTAATTAAAAGTTTGGTAAAAAAATGTGCTCAATCATTTCATGTTAAAAACACTAAATAGGTTAACGTTCAATTTAACTCACTTAGGGTCACATGTAGCATGTTTCGAACACAGCAGTGAACATTTGTATCAACACAAAGGTTTGTCAATTTAAAACAATAGAAGTACTAACATAAATTGCTGGTTTGTTTCACGTTATACAGTACAGAGTGAGAACAAATTAGATTGTTGACATATATAATGTATCTAAAACATTAAATTATCTTACAATGTATATAGATCAATGTAGATCATCAGTTTATACTGTTGACGAAAACACGATATTAAGTAAGCTTGGTGATTATAAATCATTTATGTGGTACTAAAGCTTACTACTTTATGCTTATCAATGGGACAGGACAAAGAACATCACAGGCCCGATCCTGGTAAATGGTTACGACCGAGACCTGCGTCGGTTCCGTAAGAACTCCTGTTACATCATGCAGGATGACCACCTTCTGCCCCATCTTAGTGTGGAGGAGGCCATGATGTGCTCTGCTCACCTTAAACTTGCTGAGAAAATGTCACTTCGGGAAAAAGAGGGACTGGTTTGTATACATTTTATTTTTTATCTCTACATTTGAACTGGAGCCTCATTGGCTGAGTGGTTCAGGTGTCTGGCGTCTATGATCACTAGCACTCCACCAAAATGTCGTAGGTTCAAGGCCTACGTTAGGCAGGTTGGTGGTTTTTCTTTGGGTTTTCTTCCACCACCAAAACCTGGCATTCAATGATTTTTAAAGGTTAAAAAATTATGGATTCATTACGGGATGCTGAAGCTGTACTTACATGTAATGTTAATGTGACTGTTTTACCATGTGACGGGATGCTGAAGCTGTACTAACATGTAATGTTAATGCTGTGTAAGACTTCAGGTCCTTATATGACTGTTCTACCATGTGAATGGTTTATAGTGCTGATATCACAAACATCATGTTAAGGATGAGGTTTATAAAAATTGCTTCTTTTGTTTTCCTTGAAAAAACCCATTAGAAACATTTACACCAATACCAATTTATATTGTTCATGAAGATTCTTGAGACCTTTATGTCTGAAGACTTGACAAGATATTAACCATACTATTTTACATTGTAAAGGTTGACGAGATTCTGGAGGCGTTGGGTCTGATGGCAACAAAGAAGACACGGACAATCAAATTATCAGGTGGTCAGCGGAAACGTTTGTCCATCGCATTGGAACTGGTCAACAATCCTCCGATCATGTTTTTCGATGAGCCCACCAGGTAGGACTGTTGACCTGTAAACAGGAGTTGATATATGAATATGTTTATTGGCTGATTAAAAATAGTTAATTTAAACCCAAACATTACTTTTTTTGCATACTCCATGAAGCAATTAAAAAAAAGAGTGTATATTAGTGTGAGTATGTGGGGTTTTTTCAGAATCAATAATTACATAGTTCAGTAGAAAATCAGACTTCAAAGAAATAAATCTGTCCTTTAAACCAATCAAATCACATAAATGTATACAAAAAAAACATATTAGAAAATACTGTAATGCATGATTCAAAATTTAATTAAAATTGTTTAATTAACCTGAAAGATTAAAACCCATGTTATGTTTTATTACAGTGGCCTAGACAGTGCCTCGTGTTTTCAGTGCGTGTCCGTACTGAAGGCCCTGGCAGGCGGGGGGCGCACCATCGTATGTACCATACATCAACCCAGCGCCAAACTGTTTGAAATGTTTGATTATGTAAGTACTGATGAATGTATCATGAAATAGAAAACATTATTATAATAGCAAAGTTTTACTTTATACAAAAACAAAGTACGTATTGATGATGATATACAACATTTGATATGGCGCCCTATCTAGCTAACCTAATCCACCCTATAGCGCTTTACAGTACATACATGTAGATATACAATTGTTTTTTACAATCAATACAATTTGAGGAATTCGTAGGAGCTGCCTTATCAGGAGCTAACTAGTAGTCCTATGCCGCCTGGCTAATAACTCCCTATGTGTGTATGCCTGCGTGTGTGCTGGAGATGTATTAAACGTGTTGCAATGTTTCAACACCAACAATTCGACATTTCATATTTCCAAACTGATGGATCTTATTGAAGAAGGAGAACATTATTATTATGTTCCATAATATTAATTGTTCATTATGTAGCATAAGTACTTTAACTTGAATTCTGTTAATATAAAGGTCCTGAATACAATCAAGATTTATTCCTTGTGTTTCTGCTCCGAGACAATCCTTTTTTATGATTATAGCTTATTAATGTATATGTGTGATCCTGTAGTCATTCTCTTAAAACACATACATTTTCATAAAAAAAACATAGTTTGTGTTTTAAAAATGTTACAAAACCCTTCCACAAAAAAGTAAGTAACTTTTTAAACGTTTTTGCCAAACAATTTGTTAATAAAAAAGTCCCTTCAGTGCAAACAAATTTTCAGTGTGTATTTTATGTTGTAGCTGTACATGCTAGGGGAAGGTAACTGTATATACAGAGGAACAATAAAGAATGTCATTCCATACTTCCACGCACAGGGCTGTGTCTGTCCTCCCTACCACAACCCAGCAGACTTTGGTAAGTACTGTAACACAATGTAGTATCATAGTCTCATAATCACAGGCAAAACATTTTCCCTTTAGAAAATACTTAAGTTTATGAGTAAATACAAGTTGTAAATTTGTATGGAAGTATGAAGTTTTCAAATCTGTAGTTTGTAGAATATAAGTTCTAATTTTACAACAGTAGTTTTATCACATACCTGTTGAATCTTGTTATAGTAATACAACCAATTTTCAGACCATGAAATACAACGTTCTGTATTGCACATGTGTAATACGGAATGTTGTATTTACCTACTAGCCGGAACTACTTTTTATGGGAATCCCCTTGTCATGGCGAACTGAAAAGTTCCCGGTATTTGCAAAAAATATCAAAGTTTATAAAATCTTTGTATCGATCTCTACTAGACAAATACGGAAGCTATGTGATAAAAGCAAGTCTGTGCACTGGTGAATATATTCGTCCGCGCAATAAACTTGTGCTTTCTTATTCGTTAGAAAAACACAAGTGTGTGGTCATGCATATGTATCAAGCTATTTGTAATACGTACCCTTTTGACAAATTAAGGCAAAAGTTGAATCTGGTACATATTGTATTTGCATTATTATTTAAACTGAAAACAATATATGTGTGTACTGAGAAAATTATCTTCATGAGTATTTAGGGCTGCAACGATATATCGTGCGACAATCCATCACGATAAATTGAATATGGTAGGATTTTGGAGGTTACGAAACACCTATGATATTTTCAGGATTTTTTCGTTTTTGAACTAAGTCTACTCATATTGGTTCCAACCTGCCGAGTGATAGGCTTTGGTTCTACTGTTACTATATGTATCGTGATACGTATCATATCGTCATGTTAAAGTGTCGTTGCAGCCCTATGACTCTTCCATTTCAATTATGAAATGAAATTTTCAGGATTGAACTTGATAATATATTGGTATATTGATGGTAAGACCAATGTATTGGTATATTGATGGTAAGACCAATGTATTGGTATATTGATGATAAGACAGTAACTGAAGTGCTTCGTTATCTGGTCCCAGTCAGAACAATTAA